GAGCATGCAAGGCAAGTGCTCTACTACTGAGCCACCTTCCCAGCCCTCGATAGATTCTTAAGGGGTAAATTCCATTCCATTCAAAATAGGATGAGAGCTAAGGCACCTTCCCAGAGCCCAGTGTATCTGCCAGGCCAAGGTCCGGCCCAAACCATGGATGGCTCAGCAGCTCTGAGAAGTAAAGCACTCAGAATTCCAATTCTCAAAGAAAGACTGGCTTTAGGCTAGGTATCCACAAAAGCCCTCTGCCCATTTTTGCACCTGCTGAGTTTCCCTGCCCTTCCTTCCCTATGGATTATTTGTGAATACACAGAGGGTCTGAGGGAGTGTTGCTATTTGAAATTCAAAGGAATTACATGAACAGACGGAGATGTTCAGAACTTGGCCATTCAAAGCTGGAAAACTGGACCCAGGAAAAGATGTCCTTAGTGCTCTGCAAATAGGAGATGCTAGCAACATACTCAAAAGTTGCACAGATTGAGACTTCACACACGCTAGGCAAGTGCTCTACCACCGAGCTATACTTCAGCCCAATTTAAGATTTCTATATCCAGAAAACGACCCTGTATTTTCAGCCCTGAGCTGAGACAAGCAGTTGAGATTTGCCTTGGGCAGCACTGTGAGATTAACCTAAGGCCAGAAATAGCCTGTATTTAGCCTTACTTTGTTCCAGTTAGTCCCTGGGGAGAACAGAGGTTCCTGCCTCCGGAGAGGCACAATCCTCTCATGCGTGTGTCCTCCCACCCGAGGTTCTCAGGGACTTCCCTTCTCTCTCCATGATCTCAGAGTCCAAATGGCCACCCATGGCCACCCGCCCCCCACCCCCACCCCTCTTTCCTCCTAACACCCTGTTGATTACCCATCCAAAAGTTAGAATCCCTGGGGCTGGGAAGGTGGCTTAGTGGTAGAGTGCTTGCTTAGCATGCATGAAGCCCTGGGTTCGATTCCTCAGTACCACATACACAGACGAAGCCAGAAGTGGTGCTGTGGTTCAAGTAGTAAAGCACTAGCAATGAGTACAAAGAGGCTCAGGAACAGAACTCAGGCCCTGCATTCAAGCCCCAGAACCACCACCACAAAAAAAAAAAAATTAGAATCCACTAGAGCCCTCCTTCCCTCTTCCCTGCTTAAGTTAACCACCAAAGCTAGGCAGTCCTTCTAATCTAACTGCCTGTCTGTCCTGATCCAAGTCCAAAGCTCTCAGCCTCACCTCCCACCTCCTTCTGACTGAGACAGGTCTCTCTCTTTTCAAGGCTTTTTTTTTTTTGGGGGGGGGGGTTTGGTTGGTCCTGGGGCTTGAACTCTAGGCCTGGGTGCTGTTCTTGAGCTCTTCACCTCAAGGCTTCACCACTTGAGCCACAGTGCCACTTCCAGTTTTCTGAGTGGTTTATTGGAGATAAGAATCTCACAGACTTTCCTGCCCGGGCTGGCTTTGAACCGATCCTCAGATCTCAGCCTCCTGAGTAGCTAGGATTACAGGCGTGAGCCACAGTACCCGACTTCCAGGCTTTCTTTACCCAGCAGCCAGAGAACTTTCTAAAGTGTGAATCTGATCATCTCATTCTGGCTGGGAACATTTGACTACTCCACAAGGCCTCTATCACTGGTCCCATCACTCATCTCCAGCCATTCATGAAGGTTTATCTGACACTTCTATGACAACTTGGTTCATGTTCTTCTCCTGAGCAAGGCCTTCCCAGTCTTATTTCATTGTGAGGTTCTCACTCACCCCTCTGGGGCTTTGCTCAAAGATCATGTTCTTCAGGAAGCTTTCTCTGACTCTTAGGCTAGGATGGACCTCTTCTTCTTCCTGCTTCCCAAAGCCATTTGTACATCTCAAACATGCCCTTAAAATACTGTGTTCAAGCCAGGCTCTGGTGGCTCATACCAGTGATCCTAGCTGCTCAGGAGGCTGAGATTCTGGGGCAAGAGACTAAATATTTTAGTAACAAGGTTCAAAATATTTCAGTATCAAGGTTCAAAGCCAGCTTGGGCAGGAAAATCCATGAGATGCTTATCTCCAATGAAACATCAAAAAGCCAAAAGCAAATCTGTGGCTCAAGTGGTAAAATGTCAGCCTTGAGCAGAAAAAGCTAAAGGACAATGTCTATAGTTCAAGTCCCAATACCAACACCAAAAAAAAATCAAAAACAAAAAAAACACCTGTTTTCAAAAGTACAAGTTTATTATCTTTACCCCCTTTAAGTTGTAAATTCAGCTCATTTCCCCTGAGGAGAATGTTCTTGGGCACACAGAGCTTGAATGCTCAGACATGGTGATGGTAACGAGGACATGGTTGTTCCTCTAATACAGAACTAAGGAGGTTGCACAGATGGACAAGAAAACCCCAGAAGACCCCGAGATGCTTGCTTCAGAGCTCCTGATGGATGCCCTGAAGTGAAATATCTCTGAACTCCCAA